CAGCCTCCCATTTGGCTGGTCCCGCAGCACCTGCAGCCCAAAGCTTCACGGCAGGAGGAATGGGGCGTGGATGCCGACCAGGGCCAGGGAGCGGCTGTCCCTGCAGCAGGAGGCCAGCAGTCAAAGCACGCCCACCTCAGCACCCTGAGCCAGCATGGCCTAGGGGCCCTGGCCTAAGCAGCACCCAGGAGAGCCTCCTGCACAGGGCCCTTGGGCTCCGGCTCCAGAGCCCGCCTAGAGGAAACTAGAGAACACGGGAGGGGGCAGGTGAGGGAGGGAAACAGGTGCACGGAGGGGGAAGTGGAGGGAGGGAGTAGGTGGTGGAGGGGGAAGTGGAGGGAGGGAGTAGGTGGTGGAGGGGGAAAAGGGAGGGGTGAGGGGGACAGGACACCCACCGGCCCAGGATGCTGCTCCAAAAGCGCTGGATGTCTGCCAGGGACAGGTAGAGCTCGAAGAGCCGGGACGCCACCTCGAGGGTCATTTTGGAGCTCAAGTCCTCCGTCAGTACCCACACCTCCTCAGCTACCTGCCCGGAAAGGTGGAGTCAAGCTGCCAGCAGCAAGGAAACCCAGGCCCCTTTCCGGCCAGAAAGGCTCTCCCCATCCCTCTGCCTCACCAGACGCTCCAGCTGCCGGAAGGTGAGGGTGAAGAAGTCGATCTTGATGATGCTGCAAAGGACACATCTCAGACCCCTGCTCGCCCTTGGCCCCACTGGCAGCACTTGAGGGGCTGGGCGCAGGGGCGGCAGGAAGAGCCCGGGGGCCACCTGTGGAAGAGGCTGGCGTAGATGCTGTAGCAGGACTGCAGGTCCTCATAGACGGCGTCAACCAGCTCCACCAGCCCAGCAAGTCGCTGCGGTCCCGGCTGCAAGGAAGCAGGGTTCACACTGTGTTCGCACTGCGCCCCTTGCCACACTCCCCTTCCCCTGCCCCCCACGGCCAGACCCTCTTTGAGCTGTACCTGCTCGCGAGGACTCTTGGCGTTCAGGAGCCTGTCGTACCATTCCCGGTTTCCTCTCTGCATGGCGGCAGTAGCAGAGGGGAAAGAAGGGCAGAGGGCCTGGGTTACAGCAGGGCCAGGGCCAGGGCCAGAGGGTGGGGCACTGGCAGCCAGAGGTGCAGGGCAGGGGCGGGGCGGGGCAGGTAGCCCTGACCAGGCTACCAGACGCACTTTCAGGGCAGCAGTGATGTCCGTGTTTAGCTCCGTCTCGAAGGGGCAGACTTCAAAGGAAGGCTGGAAGAGCTGCAGCTTGTCCAGACACCTGGCGGAGGAGCCACAGCTGACGGGCGGCTGCCCCGCCTGGCCCCCTGCCCCTCCTGTGCTAGCAGCCGCACCCACCTCAGCAGCAGCTCCAGGCGATGTATGGCGGTGCTGTTGGTGGCAGGAAAGTAGTCCCGCAGCTGGCGCAGCAGCCGCAGCGCGAACTCGGAGAAGGCAGAGAAGCTGTCGGCCAGGCTCTCCTCCTGGGGGCACAGGGCCCTTTAGAACTGATCCCTCGGGTCCTCCCCCGGGGCGGGGCCAGCGAGTCAGCAAAACTTTGCCCCGAGGAGCTGCCTCCAGCCCCACTGACCTCTCGCTGCTGCCCTCTCCAACCTCAGCCTCCACAGCTTCCCCTGGGGCCTAGCGGCACCGGCGGCCTCGCGTTTGCACCACCCGCTGTTCCCTCTGCTCTGTCTCTGCAGCGCCCAGAACTCCCTCTGTTGTTCCCGCTGATAGGCATGACCCCCCTCCAACACACCAGTATTGCACACCACCTGCTCTTCCCAAATCAACTCCCTCGCGGGACATGAGCCCCTCACTGCGGGCCCCAGACCCGAGCAGGCCCTCAGCACGCCCTCCAAGAACATTTTCAGG